CTCTAAGGTGTGCCCCTGACGCCGCAGCTTCACAGCGCTCTGCACGGGGCCGCTGACAACACCCTGGCGGCCGTATGACCAGCGCTAGCTGCGAAAACTGACTGGACATCGATGGTATTTCCAACACAATCCCATCACCTTTTCACTTAGACACCATCATTCTATGGTCCCACATACATGGTTCCATCCCGTACTAAACCATGCTTGAATCGGTACCAGTACCCCCATTACGCTCTGGTAAGCCAACATAGCTATTGAAAATGGCTATAGAAATAATTGATCTATCCATAAAACATGGTGATGTTCCATGGTATTTTGTATGTTTACCATTGTTTACCTGTTTACCTAGCCGGGTAGCCACTATAAAATCCCATAGGAAAACCATCGACCCTTGGCCTCCAACTGCGACAAGGACCGCATCTCCCCGGGCTTCGGAACTGCTGAAGCGACTTTGCACACCACGTCCTGATGCGCCTCCTGGGAGCGATGTTTTTAGCACGCATCTACTGCGAGAACGCTGGTTTTTAAGTTGTTTTGTAGAGATATGAGATACTGACATATGATAATCATATGGTATAAAATGATGATATAGCATGATATGTGATATGGTCTCTACTATCCATCATTTCTATGATGTATTTCTATGTAAGGCATATTATATGCATATATTGATATCTATATGTGTTCATCTTTATAGCTGTTTTTCAAAAAATATTGGTTATATATTAGTGTTTGATTATGTTTGATTGCTCAAAAGTGGGAGCGGCCCCATTCTATACCGGAATTCATGGATGGCATAGAACGCAGACCCAGCGGGTTGCTTTAAGCAGACCTGTCGATGAAGGTGGAGCCAAATCAAACGGACCAGACGGGCCCTGGGATTTCATGAGACCTGCACAAAGGCACCATACAAGTACCCTCTGGTAAACTAACATAGCTATGGAAAATCACCATGTTTAATGGGAAAATCCACTATAAATGGCCATTTTCAATAGCTATGTTAAATTACCAGAGGGTAGGTGTCTTTCTCGGGTTTGAAAATAGGAGACTCCAAGAAATCATGTTGTTCAACTCATCAAACACTCCCCAAATCATCAAACACTCCCCAAACTATGTTCAAATCATGTTCTTCAATTTTCATCACTCCCCAAACTCTTCAATAGCATGCAATAGCATCATTGGCCATTCACACCAATCACCATCAGTCTAAAGATCATGAAAGCCAAGGAATTCTCTCCACATCCAGGCCCTGTGTACGGACGGTGGGCCCTCTGAGGTGCCGCACCAGCACCTCCAGGCGGATCAAGATGCTGCCATCCTCCACACAGCTGTCGAACCTGGGCCCATGGCCACCCCGGATTTCACCATCAGACTTGAGGGTTTAACCATGGTTTAACCATCAAGAATGGGGATTATATAGGAGGATTATGTTATGTAGCATTATGATAGGATTATGATGGGATTGTGATGGGATTGTGATGGGATTGTGATGGATTAGGATGGGATTATATAGGATTATATAGGATTATAATCCCCGTTGAAATTTGGGGGAAGAGGTTATCTCCTCTTGATATAGGTACCTTCTGGCTGGGTACAACCCCCAAGCACTACAGAAAGCCTGGCCAGGTTAAACATTATTCCTTACAAAAACCAAATTATATAAGATACAAAAAGATTAGCCACAAACCAAATGGCTTCAAAGACCATCAAAACAGGGTAATCAAAAACTGGAGTGCTTTTTGTATCTGCCCAGTGTTGCTGCCGAAGTCGTTTTGTTTTTCTAGCGCTCCCTGGGCATGACGTCTGTTCCAAAGGGACTTTTTGTAGCCTGTCTTGACATAGGAGTCCCAACCAGGAAATCACATATATGTATATATAGTATCTTGCAAGGAACAGTGTGGGCAGCCAAGCTACCTAGAAAGGGCGAGGTGCAAGAATTTGACAAGGTTGCGTGAGTCATGGCAGGCTGTTACAAAAAAACGTCTGCACATCCACTCCATGCAGCTTTATGCATGCACATACTTGGTAGGTACAAAATGGAAGCCTACAAAAACAGAACCAACCTTGCTACAATTTGGTTAAGCCGGGGTCTGGTATCCCAAGATAAGCCTCTGAACACATAGAGCTGAAAGTCCTACAAAAACAACCCGACGGATCTTTCACCGTCCCATGATTTCTCAAAAACGTCGTTCTCGTGCTAGCCAAACGCACATTCTGGGTCCAAAAAAGTTTCTTAAAAAAAGTTCATCGCAAGATGCTTTCGTCAACCCTTCCAGCATTTTGTGGTCAAAAACGTGCCGAGTTCGGTTTTCCTTTTTTCAGCTCACAGCTTTGCCAGGTAGAGGCCCGTTTTGGCCAGCAGGTATCATATCTATATATTTACAAATGTATCATATCTATATATGTGTCCATATGTATGATCGCAATATCGGTGTATGTATACATATGTAGTCTACAGGTAAGAATCTATATATGCCTCTACGTATCTGTAGTGCAAGCGAACGTTAACATGGCCCACCCCACCCCACCCAACCCCAACCCCATGCGTGACGTAGCATCAACTTCATGACGCAAGTGCAAGCGAACGTTAACATGCCCCACCCCACCCAACCCCAACCCAATGCGTGACGTAGCATCAACTTCATGACGGAAGTGCAAGCGAACGTTAACATGCCCCACCCCACCCCACCCAACCCCAACCCCATGCCTGACATAGCATCAACTTCATGACGCAAGTGCAAACGAACGTTGACATGCCCCACCCCACACCACCCAACCCCATGCGTTACGTAGCATCAACTTCAAGTGCAAGCGAACGTTGACATGCCCCACCCCACCCCGCCTAACCCCCACCCCAAGAGGTTTAAGATGACATGTAACAAAAATGTCGAATTTGTGGGCCGGTAAAAGATCCGACTGCAAAAACAACTTCACAACCTAGGCAAACTATCCAAAATTTGACTGGATACAAATCATGGGAACACCCCAGGGGACTAGGCACATTTTGGTATAGGAAACATGCCTGGTACAGGAGATATGCCCTACCTTTTCGTAGCGGAATTTTCAAGGAGGATGGATTATATAGGATTGTATATAGGATTATATATAGGATTATATGGGATTATATAGGATTATGATGGTGAAATGGGGATGATTCCCCGGACACATTCAAAATACATCCCATCCGAATCACTGTTTAGTATTGGGTCTGTTCATTCTTGGGGCCCAAGTGAGTGATATTTAATATTTGGAGGATGGGGTTACTATGGAATACTCATATGGCTGTGTCAATGGGGATACCCCGATTTTTTTCTTTAGTAGAAACCACATACTGTAATGAACCATCCATTTTTGGGGGATTCTTTCTTCAAACAGACTATAATTCATCAAATCATTCCTTGGGGGACCGTTTCGGAAGACAAGAATACCATAGATATCTCATTTCTTCTTGCAAACCCACTTTGCTGAATTCACCAGCGAGGGATGAGGCCCAAAAAGGGCTTCCCGGCTGACAGAAATTCGTCCGTCCAAATGCTCCAGGGCGCTCGAAGATGTGATCTGCCGCGCTGGAACCAAGAATCAGTTACTGAATTTCGTGTTGCCATATGTTGCCATGTGGCTGCCGGCTGTGGCCAAAAACAGTGTGACAGCACTCGTCTATTCTTCCAGGATAATCGCAAACAAATGTGACCTTGCAGAATTTTCTAGATGCAGATTCGCCACAACTATCTGACTTGTCTTGAAAAGATGCTTGGTATTCAAACACTTTTTGGTTGGACAAAGACTCACCCAAGGTCATATTTGAGGAATCGTGCCAAGTTGAGAAGCTTCAAAAGCTGAACCTAATTTACCTAAACGGATCTAAATGAACCTAGTGCCTACGTAGCGTATTTCTCCTGGTAGACATGCCTTTTTTGTTAACATCCCATTGATAATGGTGAAACCCTCAGATTTCCCCTGGTAACATGCAAGGCCGTCTCGCATCTCTTCGCTCCTTGCCCGCATAGAGCCTTGGAGTAGGTGGGATAGCACTGGATAACTGGGGATCAACTGGATCAACGTTTCATGTATGCAGAATATATGCAGAATATATGCAGAATATATCAGACAGAATATTTTATTATTTTATACGTGTTTCCGGGATGGTTTCTTGATATGTATCAACCGCATTTCCAGGTTTCCAATTTTTCGATTGCATGTGGGTAGTTGTGTATAGATGTACATGGTATATTGAAAACACACGTTTTTCTTCACGGAATCTCAAGCTTGAATCCAAGGCCCTGACTTACCTGTTGCGAAAACTTGGCATTCAACTTCATTCAACCCATATGTTATGGGTCTGTCTGAAAATGGTTTATACCTCCCAAATGGCAATTTAAGTAGGGGAAAGATAAACCTACTTCACACAGTACAACACCCATCATCTTCAGACATCAATCTCCAATCGTTCATTTCTTCTGAACCGTTTCAGCCACATCCTCCTGGGCCTCAAACTTCCAAAATCGCTCCATGCAAAAATCGGGTCCCGATAAAGTCCGCTGGTTCATTATCATGTTCCCAATTTCCGCACCAACTTGGGCCATTTCCTGCCCCATCATGTGGTTAGGAAGCTCTTGGTTGTTCCTTGCTCGGTCTTTTGAATACACTAGGGTGCCCCCCACTTATGTTCATTGGTTTGTAACTCCTGAACTATAGATATACTGCCTACCATTCTCATCCACAATCCCATCAGTGAAATGTAAGTTGCTGGCAACAACTTAGCAACACAAACTAGCTATATCAACTCTAAATCCACGTTTTTCTTGGGTAAAACACAAGTTTTATAGGGTAAACCGCCATTTTTCTTGGGTAAACCACCATGTTTATAAACAACTTCCCATCTAAATCCACCAGATCACGCTGGGACCAGATCGCTGAGTCCTCCCAACACACACTTTACAAAGGCACCAGCTGGCGCGGATAGGAACAACGAACAAAAACCTGGCAGCTGGGCAGCTGAA